ACGCACGCACGCACGCACGCACGCACGCACATAAGTATATGTATGTGTATATGTATTCATAAATATGATAATTTTTAGGAAATGAATAATAAAAGCAATATAAAAACGCTGTTATTATTATATAAACATCCTTTGTTGTATGTTGTAAAGTCAATTGAAAATCACAACTGAACCAAAAGAGAAAATGCTTACTGAGAAATATGTCAGCAATATCAAGAAATAACAAAACAACCTTTAACTATAGAAGCTGCTAAAAAAAATTAGTAATAAAAAAATAATCAAAATAATAATAATAATAATAATAAAAATTAATAATAATCAAATGTATCTAAAAAATAAAAAAGTAAATATTTATATTTTAGTCACTGCCTGATAAAATCAAAACTGGATCTTGCTGTTTAATGATATTTATGTGTAAATTTACATTTATCAGTTCATTTTAAAACTGCATGCCGTTATTTTCGGATATAAATGCAATCATGAACTGATAAATGTAAATTTATATATAAATATTATTAGGCATTGAGATTCAGTTTTGATCGTATCGGTGATTATTATGTAGTATGATTCACTAGATAGTTGAAAATTTATATTCTATTATACCTTGCTTTCTAATGTAAATGAAGAAATATTACACATTGCACAAATGCTTTTATGTAAATAAATAATTTACTACGCTTCTATTAAAATAAATATTTATTTGAAAATTAGAAAATTGTAACAATAATTAGTACAATAAGAATCTTAGTAAATACGAAGCCATAAAAATCAACCACCGATAACAAGAATAGTTGATGGTTAAATAGACATTGTAGAGTACGGTTAACGCGATGCTGCAAACGCTTTAAAGCAGTTTTTAATTGGTCAGTTTGTAAAATTCTTTCTTCTAATTGGTCCATCAAATGCTTCAAATCATTTGTAGCGAGATTTTGACCACAATCATAGAATCATTTGAGATAAGAGAACTCTGTACGAGAATTACGTTCGAGACTCAGATCAATTTCTAGCATCGTCTTAAGACACAAACCTTAAGGCTATTCTACATTGGTCATATCGTAGACATCGCAAGTCACAACTTATTGTTTCAGCCAATCTGATGCTTCAATTTTCGCATGATGTTTTTAAATGTAATCATAGTCGAGGTCCAGACTCTGATTATATAGGATGGTTTCCAATTGTAATATCCCTAGATACTTTCGTGCATACGACGATACAAGTTGCGTTCCAATTCTCTCTAGGTCAGATTAGAGTCCTTAAACTACCAGAAGGTTGTTCGTGTCGCACGCTCCAATATGTCCAAAACGCTCCAATATGTTCGCGTCACTGAAACTAATATGGGGACTAGATGTTCGCGTCGCGTTAGAGACATTAGAGAATTACTTCAGACATTAGAGAATTACTCAATTAAGAATACGCTTTATTTGCCTCACCTCAGAAAATATGATTAGGACATGTTACGCACGCATGCGTAATGGTACTACTGTATTGAAAAAAATATTTCAGATTCATTTTGTATAAAAACACATTTAATAAATGCATTTTTGATATAAATATAAAAATATAATATAACTTTTATATTTATTAAAAATGCATTTATTTTGTATAAAAGCGTTTTTCAAATAATCGAGGTAACAAAATATTCGAAACGAAATGAAACACATGTCCGACTCGTTCGAATTATCTCACGAATTAGGTTAGATAACATACTCACTTGTCCTAAATCCGTTCGTGTCATTGAACATTGGAGCACATGAATACAACTGCTCCAACCGCCACCTGTGCCACCTTACCTGTGATCCAAATTAACTCTTTGAGTTAATTTGGAGCATGCGATGCGAACAAATCTAGAGTCTGGCCATACTCTAAAAATGGCGTACGTCCATATGTGTGTTTGCTTTCAATTGGGGATATGTGCATTTTCGATTGGTACTGCCATTGTGTGGGCACGCCAATCACAACAGAGGTTGACGAGATGACCAGACTTTGGTAGGTCTAGGGATTCTAGTTCAGTGCTAGTTGCATGACTCCAATCTACATCAAAAATGAACATCACATATGTAAATGGCGAGAAGTATATATGACGTATCGATGATATAAAGAAGAAATTACTTGCAGTGTAAGTGCTTTGTTAAGTCGATCCGTTAACACAAAATCTAGTTCGCATTGTTAACGGATGAAATATATATATATATATAATTAATCTGTTTTTTTCCGCGGTGATAAACGACATTTCTGCTAAAAGGATGACGAGTTGACCTATCACGAGGAATGGAATGTCTTTTACAACGGTACGCTTCAACGACAGGCGTGCGTATCAGCGTATGTGCCTGCGCGTGTGTAACACGATTGATGCGCCTGCGATGTGTGTAAATATAGTAAAACTATCGAAATATGATTATTACTTTGATCGTGCTATATTTTCTTTATCTTAATTGCTTTCTTATCTCTTTAAAAAGGATAAGTACGCATGATTAGGTTTCCTTAATAGTATCATTTTATTTCATATATTGTTTTGGCAATGGACTTTTTTCAATCTTTATTATGCTCCAGTCGTAATAGTAGTATTTGTGCATTATATATTGATGTATCATAATCACATTTTTCTTTTATTAGCACGATCCCATCGATCATGCTATTTGTCATGACTCGTAATAACATTTTCTTTGCATCTGTGTGTAATATCTTAGTAAACAGTGAGGCGAAAAGTTTGCGAACAGCAAATTATCAAACAATTGTATTGTCTTAAAATTATATCAAATATTACAGTTTATTTTTTCATATTCAATTGTATATATTTATATTATAATGAAATAGGATAGATTTGTATTTGTACAATGATATTGTACTTACAATGTTTGTTTGTCCTGCTTATTTTTTAAATATATAATTTGTATAATTTAATGATGTGTTCTGTATAACTTTCAGAGTATTGAAATAAAATAATCAATCCGTTTGGTGCTGTTTAAAGTATAAGGTAAGTAATGAACAAATTATATTACATTCCAATAGAGAAATGTAATTGTTTATTCTACATTCTAACAATTTATGGTAATAAGTCTATGTTAATAAGTCTTCAACTTTGAGTTATTAATTTTTTATCATTATTTATATTTTTATCATTTATTATATATCTATTTTAAGAATTGTTGTATATAA